AACCAAACACAGTTACTGCTCCTGTAACAAATATTACAGAGATATGTTACAGTGTTAACAAGTATTCAAAAGAAAAGTCCAGATTGTGTGTGTGTTTGTGTTTTCAGGTGAACGCGGAGAGCGACAAAGACTCGGTGTTCCTTGAGGTGGACAAGATCATCAGTGAAGCTATCGGTGAGTTCTGGGTCTGATCCACTGACTATAATAGTGTGGTGGACCAAATATTATCTGATCACTGACTATAGTGTGATAGACCAAATATTATCTGATCACTGACTATAGTGTGATAGACCAAATATTATCTGAGCACTGACTATAGTGTGATAGACCAACTACTGTCTGATCCACTGACTATAGTGTGATAGACCAACTACTGTCTGATCCACTGACTATAGTTATAGTAGACCAACTACTGTCTGATCCACTGACTATAGTATGATAGACCAACTACTGTCTGATCCACTGACTATAGTTATAGTAGACCAACTACTGTCTGATCCACTGTCTACTAATGACAATATACCTCCTTCCTGCTCTCTAGCTATGTTCTGTTGTCTGCTTTCGTCTCCACTTTCTGCCCCCACCCCTTCACCTCCTTTGCCCCCTCCTCTGGGCTCTTGACTCTTTCTGCAGCCTTTCTACTGCTACTCATTGGCTCCCTCTTACTGCAGTCTTTCTGCCACACCCCTGATCTTCTGGTAGGATAGATCTACACCTAGCCTTCTCTCTATTCAGTATAATTATTACAGGTTGATTGTTACTTTATAATTATTCCAACTACCATGGCAATGTTGTTACCGTACATCGCTGAGATGACTAACTGCTATTTTTAAATCCCCAGCTACAAGCAAGGCCTTAAAGGAAGCTAAGATTGTTTTTGTCATTGGTAAGTGCGGCGAGAACTGGTTTGTCTGAAGGAGTTCATGTTGATTAGCTTCTATGATTTAATCGCTTATCTTCCAAAGATAATGGAACCTGTTCGTTGGCTTTTGTTGTTGTTGATTGTTTGAGTACTTGGGTATAGTATGGAAGCATTTTCCTAAATCGGGGTGGAATGTCCAGGTATGTACTTTCCTCCCGTAATCGTATTGTCTCAGGGAAGGTCATCTGGGCTCTATCGCATAAAGCTGAAATTTTAGCTGCTGAAATAATTGTTAGATTGGAGGACTAGAAGTGTTGCATCTTTTAGTTTATTTTTCGGAAGAGTTTTACGGCACCTACAACATCAATAATTTTGTCACATAAGTGCCGAAGGCAAATGTAACTGGAGAGTAACATACACAAAGGAAAGAAGTTGGAGAGATAAGGACGATAGATGTTTGATAGGACAGGAGGAGAGATAAGGACGATAGATGTTTGATAGGACAGGAGGAGAGATAAGGACGATAGATGTTTGATAGGACAGGAGGAGAGATAA